CCCCCCGCTCTCGGGGTGGACGCCCTCTCAGCCCTGGTCTGGCGGAAACACTGACCCTAATCATTGCAAGCATACATGCTCAGAAACACAAACGCTAACTGTTCATCTGTGGAATGTTCTCATTATGGGAATCCTTGTACCCGTTTAGTTAGGAAGGAAATTGGCAGATAAAGACAGCATGGTCAAAACACTATTAAAAGTGACCTAGGCCAGAATGTCAAAAACACTATTAAAAATACTTAATTCAAAATGATTCGGGCCGAAACTTCATTACAAATGATCTAAGTCGAAATGTCAAACAAATGTGATTGAGTAGGGGGATTCAAGATGGTGGAAGGAATAATGGTGTCCTACATAATGGAGAAAGTCAAGATAAAAAAAAAGAGAGCCTGAGACTCTCCTGGTGCCTAGTACCTGAGATCATCTGATACTCCACTAATTAAACTATAACTGGGATGTAGGCCACACACACATACACACATACACACACACACACACACACACACACACACACACACACACACACACACACACACACACACACACACACACACACACACACGAAGGCGAAAACAACTGATAAGACATGTGTATAAAAAGAAGCGTGAACATTGTAAAGGTAGTCACTCCATTGGCCGACTCGTGTTTACTGTAATTTGTTGAATCTTCAGTTAACTCTATTCTATTGGAACTCTTTTGAAAGTTAAATAAGTGTCAACAAAGTGTTGTGAAGATCTCGAAGACATCCGGCCCAACTTCAGAGGTTTTCTCCACAACACTACAAAAAAACTATCATTTGTTTGTTGTTATAATCCTATTGTGGTTAGCCAGGTGTTTACATGCAGAGGTGTCTTGCCCACAGTTCTATAAAAAAGAATAACAACATGTTTGAACTTGTTGACATCCAAATCTACCTCAGACATTGTGTGTGTATTTGCAAATAGTGACAAATCAAAAGTGAAAGAAACAAGATGTTTACATGCCCCATGAAGCCACAGTACACCATAGCCTGGATTATGCTAACCAATGTGTAACGTTTTCAAGCACTGACGCAAAGCTCGATGGCTTGAGCAACCTACTTATGATCAGTCTATTTCAATGTAAACAAACATACAATAATAACAATAATACATTCCCATGGCTTCAATAGTCTGCATAAGCAAGAACAATATTCAGAAGCCAATTAGCTAAATCAAATGTATTTTTTTCATCTAAGTGTCCTACAACCGCAGCATTTACATTTCTGTTGCATGTGTAACTGCCTCAATATAATGTTTGCTTTCCTTTTCCAGGGTACTACCACCAGAGCCAAGTGCAGAGCCTGAGCCAGAACAAGGAGACGAGCCACGACATGCAGGTCCTGGTTTCTGGAACCGCTGGCATTTCCTGGAGGAAGAAGCCTGCTACAGTGAGCGACACAGTTGTCTTTTTTACACACAGTTTCGAAAAGAAGATTTTCTCCACTTTCACTGGCTTTCAGATAAACTAGAAGTTACAAACGAGTCAAATATCAAATAGGGAAAATATTAAGATATGAATATCATAGTTGAGAGGCCACAACAACACATTTTTTATAGAACAATATTATGATAAAAATGTATGAAGTCACCAAAATACTGTCATTTTTATTATCTGTTATAATTTGTGTGTTTATATTTCTTTTTATATCTTTTCAAATAGACACCTCTGATCGTCAAAGAAAAGGGCAAGTCGAAGAAGAACAAGTTGGATGAAAATCTGAAAAATGACGACTGGGTGGTGTTCTGTGACTTCCATGAGATCACACACACTGTGATCAGAGAGGCCACGGTCACCATCTACAGACAGGACAACAAGAAGATGGTGAGGCAAAATCTAAACGCACTGTGTCCCATGGTTAAGTTACCACTGTGTGAAAAATGTTGCAACCAGTGGAGTCGCCCCTTGCTTCCAAAATTAACCCATCTCTATTTTTTTACAACAAATGTTTATTGTATACAATCATTTAGTTAATTAATGTATTGTACACAGTTGATGATGGGTCTTTTTTGTTACAATGGCCCCAAACCTACACTTCATAGTAAATACTATCGTGTCATAGTGGGGTTATTATCGTGTAATTTAATAACCTGGACCGCTAACCGCCTCTACTTTTTTTCATAGTTAAAGGTGGGATAGGTAAGTTTGAGAAACCGGCTCGAGATACACTTTTTGTTATATTCCATGGAATGCTCTTAACATCCCGATAGCAATGAATATCTTAAGTGCTTTAACAAAAAATACTGTACTGTAAAAAGCACGACCAATCATTTTAGCCGGCCAGGCTAAAGTAACTGGATGGCCTACCTGCCTGTCAGCCTTCCATCTGTGCACAAACTTATCTCGTGCCCTCATTGGTCATGTGCGTGTTCGTGTGTGTTGGAGGAGGGGCTCTGTAAGGAAGTGGCAGATTTCTTCCGGCTGTGTATTTTCCAAATTCTAGCGGACTCGAGCTGGTTTCTCCAAAATTACCTACCCCACCTTTAATGTGTCCCGACGGCAACATTTGTTTCACTTAACATCCTGCTTGAACAAAACCTGCCTCTTGCTACACACCATATTAGCTCTGACTAATAGTGATATCATGCTTCATCAAAGATTTGAGTAATGTCATNGAGGAGGTGAGGTCCACACACCACCTATAAAAATAGCACTTTACCTCTGCTTACACCTATATGCCGTGAGCTGATTATCGAGCCTTCATTGTAACTGTCACAGTTGTGTATTTGCGTGTGGATTGTTGCAGTAGAAAATTCCACTGTAGCGACCGGTACATTAATGGGAAACCCTAAATGTTTGAGCACCCTCTATGACACGTCAAGCTACTCCACAGCACCCCAAAATAAATCTCTGGCGCCGCCACTGAGCCTGACTATTTGTGTTGGGGGGGGCCCGACTTTTTTTTTTCTCCAAAGGGGGGACCTGACAGAAAAAGTTTGAGAACCACTGACATATATTAAGATGTTAAAAAAAAAAAAAAAGGGAGAAGGGGTCGGATGAAATAAGTGTAAACTTCTTCCGACCCCTTTTCGGACGTGTAATTAGCTAAAGCTTTGTTGTTTATTGATATCAGACAATGATACTACAGATTATTCAATTATTAATTAAATATTTCGTTTTGTTATTGCATTCATTTGTATAGTACTGTATCATGTCTGTATCATCTTTTGTTTCATTTGTATTTTCTTTGGTTTTACACGCTCGAAAAAAAATAAAATAAACTAAACTAAACTAAGAGGTGGGTGTTTTTCATCTGCTGGTGGACTACTGGAGAGATATACAGCAGGAGAACACGCCGTCCACTGCCGAGAATAAACAGAAGGGCAACCATGGCAACCATGCTCCGGGGTCTTCTTCGCTGCTTTTGGTGTATTTTGTGGCGGCAGCAGCGCCACTTACAGGCCTGGCATATGTACTACAGCGTTTCCAGCGGGTCGAGCGGTCTCGTGAACGGACACATTAAATGACTCGAATGCGTGTGAACGGAAGACTTTTTTGAAAACTCATACGGTGCGTAAACGCAAACGTTCCCTTGTAAATGGGGTCTTAGTAGCATTAAAAGAAAAATACTCAAGTACAAGTATCTAAAATCTGCACTTAATTACAATACGTGATGTACTTATAGTAACTCCATCACTGATTTGTAGGATATTGAAGGCTGAGCTTGAAGATTCATCCTGATCTGACAAAATCAACTTTTCATTTATTTTACTTTGCAGTTCTGCAGCATTAGCATAAAGCCATCCAGCTCTCATTAGCCACATCCAGCTCTTCCTCTCTGTCTTTCTGCAGTGTCTCTGTCCTGGGACCGGTCCCTGACTGTTCAGCACTTTGTCCCCAGGTATCGCTACCATGTTTCCTTTTGCTTACTCCGGATGCTGCCATAAATAAAGTCCTCTCTTCCTGGCATACTACGTCTTAATTCCCAGCTTTCCACGAGGCGTGCTGGGGCCTTTTCGCTGCAGTAAGCTTCCTGAGCCGGACGCGGAAAATGCAAACGTTTCAGCCTTTCACTTACTTTCAATTGAACATTAATGATGTTGTTCTGCATCGAGACGTGAAGATGAAAGATGTGTGGAAACCAGTCTTCAATGAGTGTGTTCATTTTAAATATTTGAGAAAAGGCAATAACAGAAGTCTCTTTTAATATTATTGATAATCCCAGTTTTATGATATGTGATAAACAGAGGAATGGTTATAAATGCTACAACAGCTCATTTGCATATAATTTTAGAAACCTCCGGAGACAGGAAGTTATTAGCTTCTGGAAACAAAACACCGTAATCCCAGAAGTCAGCTGGACCTCTTTCTATTTCATATTTATTTCATCCACAATCAAGCCATCCTCTTGTATAATCTTTCACGTTTGATTATATTATTCACGTTTGCACATACTGCCGTGATAATGAAAGATAATACATTTCTCTCACATCTCATTAGGACCATCTGCTGCACTAAAACTCCGACAAATAAGTGAAATATTTCATGAAGAGGAAGCTGTTGCTCACGTCCTCCTCTGGCGACGCTTTGTCATTGTTTTGCATTATTCCAAGTCCTGGGGGCATTTTATGGAGATACAAAAGAAATATGCAATGCAAGATGAACGTTAATTCATTATTTAGAACCATTGATTCCTGAATTTGAATTCATGTTATTGCATATTCTGCTGCGATAATGATATAAATATAAAACAACACGGCGTGATTTGCATTTCAGACACAAGAATGGGATGAAGTTAATTATCAGAAGCCAAAAGCCTCTGAAAAAAATCGCCATTTCTCTTGGTTTATTATCTGAAAATACATGATTATCAGTCACAGTGCATGTTCTGCATCAAATAATGTCCTGGACACCTCACTCAAAAGTATTTAGATGTTTTTGATTGAAGGCACTAAAGGGCAAAAATATATAAATTCAATAAAAATTCATACACCGGGACATCGTGACACATTAGGTCTCTGAATTTGGTTAAAATAAAGAGACTTTTGGGAAAGTTAGGAGCAAAAATGTTACTTTAAAACAGGGGTGTCAAACTCAAATACACAGTGGGCCAAAATAAAAAAATGGGTACTAGTCGAGGGCCGGACTGGTTCAATGTTTATTGCAGAACTTATTGAAATGAACTTATTGCACATATTAAACCTGGAACTAACAAAGCTTAAATGATTGCCTATAAAAACAACATCAAACATTAAATAATCAGTTGCATTCATTTCTTATGGCTCTATCTGCAGCTTTTCCAGAGTCATTTCTTATGATTACATTTTCCCAAAAGTACTTTCTTGAGTGTTTTGGCCGAACTTGAGTGGTCTTTATTTCCCAAGGTGGAAACTCCGTCGCTGCGAAGGCAAACTTTTCACGGAGAACTGTCAGGTCAATGTGGGGGGTTGTCTAGAGACTTCTCGGGCTTGAACTGTCAAAACACTGACAGGGTACCTTTGCCACTCTCGCGAGTAGGATCCCATCAACGGTCTTTTTAGACAAAGCCCCTTGTTGGGGGGACTGATTTTTTTCTTCGACTCTTGCCGTACTAAAAATTTCTTCGATTGCTGCACTTTTGTTGTGTTCCTCCCTTTCTTTCCGGTTTGAATTACCTCCTGTCGTCTCCCTGCGCAATAATTTGTATAAACGGTCTCGACCACCTAAATTTTACCGAAAACTGTGGTAGACAACTTAGTCTCTATGAAAAAGTTCCCGTTCGGAGAGCAGACCGTAGCGTTGCAGTAGATGTGACAGAGGAAGTAGTTACACCAGAAGAGTGAGAAAATGGTGCAAAGGAGGTATTATCATCAAACGTGCGGGTGGCATGTCTCCAGCATTTGACCGTTACCGTGCAGGAAATGTCTGTGAAAAAACAAAGAGCGTAAATTATTTATAAGACGTGCACGTTCTTCACAATCCCTATCAAGTAAAGTCGAACTATCTGCCCATTCCCTGTACAGTACGTCCCACTTATCTTTAATTCTGGGTTCTCCATAGTGTCACTGCTCGAAGGGGAGCGAGATTAGTGAATTGCTGTTAAGTCACAAACATAACGACAAAAGACTTCCACTTACAAAGTTTTACGTTTACTCCCGTGGATAGTTACGTCAAGACGAGTTTAATCCCTCTTTAGACATCTTGCTTATTGGTTCAATCAGTTGTATTTGTGGACATACACCTAACATCTAGGAAAGAGAGGGTAATGGATTTCGTCCCCACAGTTTGAGTACCGGGCCCCGGTTTAGGCGGGCACTGAAGTAAAAGACACCGGGGTGTTCTCTAACCGGTTTCTTATATAGCAAACAATAATGCCAATTACGGCTCCAAATGTCTCGTGCAACGGTATTTGATGTACAGGGTGTTACGTAGCGAGTTTAACCTGAGTAAAGATCTTACAATGAAAAAAAGTTTTACAATGAAAAAAAGTACAGTATTATGGTAATAAATTAATTGATTATATTTTTATATATTTACTATATAAATATATCAGGAATTTCAATGTTGCCCGGGGACGTTGGTATTACGATTACACCGCAGGCTCTACTTTAAAACTCAAACTGCGGGGACGAGATTTCCTTCTGCACACATATAACATTTTTTCGTGTTTTAAAGAAAATTAACTGGGACACGGTTTTTGTACAGAAAATCAGACATTCAAAGAGTGAAATTTATTAACGGACACTTCGTGACTTTACTCCGTTAGGAGATTTCGTGTAACACAGTGTTGCAGTTCCGGGCCCCGGTTAGTCCCGGGGCAAATTAAAGCCGGGCCGTCCTATTAAAAGATTAAAGATTAATCTAGACCGCGCGGCCATATAACGGCGTGTGGAAGTGAGGTAGACTCCCGGACGAGGAGTCGAGTCTCGGACCGGGTGCTAACCTACTGGACGGGTGGGTCTCACTCTACGTGTTCGATAGCACTTGATCGTAGGTGTACATCGCGGTGTGACTCAAATACCTCAAGAAGGAACGGGGACCACTGTTGTCCGTACGGAAACCAAAAGAGAAACTCCCTTCTATCAAAACAACCTTTCGACGAAC